CCCGTATCCTGCCCGCCGAGCTGGCTGCCTTTAATGTTCGAGTTTTGAAGCCGCTTGGGCAATAGTTTTACACCGGATAAGAGAAGCCATCTCTCCCTTCGGTCCCTTCAGAGCGGTGCGTTTGATGCATTGCCACATTATCTTTACAATAGACCCACTAGGGTTTATGGCATCTGATTGTCAGTGGTCCCCTCTGGGTTCTCTACCTCTTTTTGCAGCATCATTACTACCTCATTGACTTGCTGTTTGGGGCTCTGGGACTGCAGAGCTTTGACACAATATATCTTCTCTTATTTTCTTCTTTTTTTTTTTTTTTTTAAGTTTTTCACTAACCTACACAATTCCAACTCAGGTGAAAGATGGAATTGCATATTTAGAATTGCATGCTGTAAAGTAGCTTCGTTTCTCTTCCAAAATCCAGGAGGGAGAAACATGAATGAGGTAAAGGAGGCTCTAAGAAACATAGAGCGGAACTACAAGCTCTTCCTGCAGCAGCAGTTTACGTTTATTGGAGCGCTGCAACACACCCGAGAGAATGCACATGACATGATCAGACCTGTGGCAAGCATCAGCCAGGTACAAAGCATTCAGCACAAAGTTCTCTGCCAACGAAAACGGGGACCAACACAGTGCTGTTGTGCACTTGGGTCTAGTTTGGGGATGAATAAATGTTTTCACTAAGGCAAGATGCACAAAAAACTCTTTGGCAACATTTGTGTATAACTCTGCAAACCAGTGGCAAAAGATTAAAGAGGGGAGAAAAATACCTGTGTTAGGTCTTCCCATTTACAGAGAAGGAATTTTATTGCTGAGCATCATTTTATGTTTTAGTTTAACACCATCATTTCACTGCTGTGGCACAGCCAGAAATAGAGGGTACAAGAAAACAACCAAACCAACCCTCCTTCCCCAGCCACACATGGAATCTGTAATCCTTAGCTTGTAGTAACCAGCATTGCTTCCTTCTTCCCCCTGGTATCAGTGCTGCTGTATCTTTCTATAGTGCTTATTAAAAATAATGGCTGTGTTACAGAGGTAGGATGATGGATTGAGGGCTGAAAGTCCCAGGTGGGCTAGGGGTTTTCTGGGCTGGTAAGTGAATTGTCTTGGAATTTTTATATCCGGGATGTTTTAAGTAGTGCAAAGAACTTAGACCACCTGCAGACAGAGGGGGAAGAAAAATCTAAATAAAATTAGAATTGTGGATTTGAGACAGAAGAACCCAGACACGAAACCAAGAGGGATGCCAAAGCCAGAGTGAAAGTCAAGCTGGTTTTAGGATTAGGAAGTGAACTGGTTGTCTTTTATAAGTGCTGACTCTAATAAAAGGGCTTTGCTCATAATGTTGAAGAGGATCACAACAGACATTACACTGAACTGTTTTTTCCAAAAATAGTGATTGAGATTTTGTATAACATTATGCTGATTTCAAAAGTGCCAGTGTTTCAGCAGCGCTGCGCAAGCTTGGACTCTGCTTCTCGGCAGAGGTGGAAGTCCTGCTTGTTGTGGGGCTGAAACCTCATGGGTAACAACTTCAGCAATCACATTGATCCATGGCATCGTGGTACAGTGACATGTGAACACAGTGGTGGCAAACTCAACTGCACCGGTAGCCCTGAGGGTGTAACTGTGTTACCCCAGGGAGAGGATGGGAAAGGGAAAAGAACACGTCACTGGGGAGAACAGGGGGCACTTGGTGCAGCATGTGCTGGTGAAAGTTCGTTCACTGGGGATAAAACCAGACATCCATTTTATTTCACTACCATTCCCCTGAATCAGCCCAACCCCGTTTTTAATTTTGCATAGGAGGGCACAAGAATAAAAGCAACAAATGCTTGTGTGGTCTCAGCCTACAGCTGATGTCACTGCCACCTTTCTTTGTACATAAACATAGACACTACAGAAATAAATTATATTGCACTTGAACATGGCTGCATTTCTAACCCCTAAAAGCTGTATGTGGTAGCATTTTTAGTCTTGAGTGATGACAATTCTCAGAGAAAAGAGGAAAGCATAGAAGGATGGAAAGGTTGAAGAGCACATCATGGTCAGGCAATGGCAACAGCTCCTTAAAGACCTCTACATGGAGGAGGGTATAAAGTCAAATCTCATGTGGTTTTGTGAGACAAGCCCCTCAGTCATAGCTTCAGCCTGAGATTCAAACCACCCAGTGAGTCCCTGGCTGTGGCCATGACACTGGCCCAGCGCAGGGGCTGCCCCTGACCTCCCTGGGCTGCAGCTCAGCATCAGCAGTTGGCCGACGCAGAGCTGGGCAGCGCTCGCAAGCCGGTGTTCCTGTAGTCCTGGTGCCCATCCTGGTTATGCAGGCGCATTAACTCTCTGTTCTTGGTCTGGACAAAAAGAAGTCCTGTTATCCCATCGGTGAACATCCAGGCTAAAACGCTATTCTCTTTAGGAGTATTTCTGCTCACAGCAGCAATAAAAAATCCTGCCACTCGCAAGGACACAACACTCAGCGAACAGCGTGGAAGGAGGATCTGTAGCGGAAATGGACCCTTAGGGGCCATTTTTTATTTTTCTTACAAACCTGCTGAGAATTTGCCCAAGCACACAGCATTGCTTTTCTGTATGCAGAAACTGTACTGCTGTTGGAACAGCCACTTCGTTCTCGTCTTGAAATCTTACAGAAAGCACTGAAGATGTTGGTTGGCTCTGACTGCCAACCAGCCATTCAGTATTTTATGTTCTGACCGCTCATGTCTGAGCGCCTGTAATTTCTTTGGAGAAGATATTTGATCTCTTAATCATGCAATGCCATTCACTCTGAGTAACAAAAATACCTGTATGTGCAAATACATCCACACTGTCACTCCAAACCAGTCCCAGTTTGGGCGCTGCCCTCCTCCCCACACCCCACTCTGCCTCAGCAGCCGTGGCAGTGGCAGAGGGTGCCCCGCTCAGAGCAGACAGAAAACTCTGCCCACGCTCAACCCGTTTCTGCAGCGCTTGCAGCAGAGCTGTGGTTTTGGCTGTGGCACTCCTACACTTTCTTCAAAGAAGGAGGAGGGCTCACTGGCGTGCTGATGAGCAGATCCATCACCCCAGCTGCCTTCAGTCATGATGAATGACAAGCAAACATCTCGGGCACGCTCGAGAAATCTTACTACCTGCTGCTGTGTTGCAGTTTCCATAGTGGCTCGTGCCTGCAGAGTCACAAGAGAAAGCAGCTTCTCATCACTGACCTAAACAACTTCGCAGCGTCAGTTAAACATAATGTAATATGCATGACTCTGGTTTTCCCCGTGTACAGGTGCAGTCCTACATGGACCATCACTGTAACAATTCCACGGACAGGCGTATCCTCAACATGTTCCTAAACATCTGCAATGATCTGAGCAAGCTCTGCCACAAGCTGGAAACCACTCATTCCGGTAACACCATAACCGATGGCATTTTGGAGAGATGCAAGCTGCTCCTTAGCCACAGCAACGACCTGAGCACCATCCGGGCTAAGTAGGTGTCTCCATCAGCTTAGTTTCTTTGGGGCAACTGTCAGTGCTGGGGGACCGTCACAAGAACGCACATTCCCACTTCTCATTTGTTGTATGAGGAGCAGCTGAGGGAACTGGGGTTGTTAATTCTGGAGAAGAGGAGGCTGAGGGGAGACCTCCTGGCCCTCTGCAACTCCCTGCCAGGAGGGGGCAGAGAGGGGGGATGAGTCTCTGGAGCCAAAGCCCCAGCGCCAGGCCCCGAGGGAATGGCCTCAAGCTGCCCAGGGCAGGGTCAGGCTGGCTCTGAGGAAGGATTTCTGTGCAGAAGGGGCTGTTGGGCGTTGGAGTGGGCTGCCCAGGGCAGGGGGGGAGTCCCCATCCCTGGAGGGGTTGAAGTGTCAGGTTGACATAGTGCTCAGGAAGATGGTGTAGTTGGGAACGGTCAGTGCTGGGTTAATGGTTGGACTGGATGATCAAGGTCCTTTCCAACCTAGCTCATTCTGTGATTCTCCAGCAGTTCTGTTACAACACCTTTCTGGCTTTAGTGAAGGTACAAGGTGCCACCCAGTTTACTAGTCCAGCTATTGGGAAAAAACATTGCCAGCCTCCGTTCCCCAAAAGGGGTTTTGATTGTTTATTCATTCTTTTTGCTAGTGCATGGAAGGGCACATGCAAGCAGGTTAGTCCCCTAAGACCCACGCAATGCTCAAGCAGTTCACCCCTTCCTTCCTCCTGCTCCTGCTCTGCATGGAGCTGATTTCTGTGAGGCAAGTGCCTGTATGTTCTCTTGAACTCTTCCACATCTAGCCCCACAGCCAGGAGGCTGTTTGGCAGGACTCCCTTCTCAAGACACAGTCCTAGCCCTGCCCTTTTTGTTCTGGGGAAATGGCTGCCTGTGCGTTTCTGCTCTTCCTGGGGGGCTCAGGGCAGCAGTGTGGGCTCACCAGGGCTGCATTGCTCACACTGCTCTGCCAATTGTTTCCTTCTGTCCCACAGATACCCCCATGATGTTGTGAATCACCTGAGCTGTGATGAGGCAAAGAATCATTATGGAGGTGTGGTGAGCCTCATCCCCATCGTTCTAGACTGCATGAAGGAGTGGGTGACCCACGCCGAGAAGCTGCCACGGCACGTGCTCTGTAACGTGAGTGGTGGAAGTGCTATCTCTGAGACGAGGGCACCCCAGGAGGCACCAGCTAGGGCAGCCATTTCCCAATCCCCCCCTTCTGTGCACCTCAAAGCTCAGACCTCAGCTGGTGACAGAGATAATGTACAAGTGCAGGGGAGTAAGCATGTCCGGAAGAAGAACCTGAATAACCCAGAAAACCACAGTGGGAAACTTAAACATGCCTGGAAACCCCCAGGTAGACACGCGTTTTAAAGGATCAAAGTTCATGCATCTTCTGCTTGGCACCTTTAATCCGATGGCTGATTAAAGACAGTGAAATGAATACTAGAGATCCTTCCTCTCTGAGTGCCCTTTCTGAAGAGTTAGCCCTGTAAGCCAGCCTTGGACAGGTACACACTCTCTCCCTTGCAGATGTTTCTGCTCTCTGTTCATATCCCAACAGAAGTACCTGTAGCACTACAGCTGCTCCCTTTGACCAGCGCTGCGGGGAGAGCTTGGAACGGTCAGGAGCAATCGGGTTCTCATCACACAGATATGAATCTTGGGCAAGCTACTTGAAACGGGATTTTACATTTTCTCAGGCTTCTTTCTGAGGAACTACCCCTCGCTCGCTGAAGCGGGCTGTAAAGAGCCTGCCTGTGTGTCTGAAGGGCACGATGCAGAGCAGCAAAGGCCTCTCATTATGGATTCAGACCTGTGTTCGAGATTTAGACTTGTCCCTAAAGTTCCCTCACCCCCGCTGAAATTACCTGGTTATTTAGACCAAAGAATCAAAAGTCTACAGAACACTAATGTCTCCCTTACATGCCACCGGCTACAGAAAAAGTCAGGGTGCATCAGCCACACCAACTGTGCTCTGCTGCGTCCTCCTGGCAGGGTCTCACACCCCTCAGAACATCCTCCCTCACACCCATTTGACTCCTCTGCTGTCAGAGCTATGGATGTAAAGGAGAACGGACTTCATTTTGCACTTAGTTTAGTGCACTGGCAATATCCCAGCTTGACTAAAGCACCCCTGTCCTCCCCAGAGCTCTGCAAAACTAACAAAGTCATTTGCAGTCAGTGTGATCCATGGGGATCTGGTGGGAGCAGAGACTGAGAAAGCTGTGGCCATTTTCAGGTCCTTCCTTTCCAAACTGCAAGTTAGAATGGCTGTGCTTTCCTTTTTTTTTTTTGTTTTTTTTTGGTTTTTTTGTTTTTGAGATGAGAATTCAGCTTGTCTAGCTTTCAAGGATGTTATGAGGCTTAGTTCATTAAAACTGCAAGGCGTCTGAAATAGTCCCATGCTGCTTTTGTAACGGTGCTGGCAATTCCAGCGCAGTGACTTTACACCAGTGCTGAATGAAGACAACTTGCTTTCCAGCCTGCTTGGGGAGGGCCAGCAGAGCCCGCCCCGCCCAGGCTCTGCACATTCTCTAGAGCCGATACACATTTTTGGTGGTGCTTTTCTTCAAGCACTGTTAACCACAAACTTAAGATCTCAGTAATGTGGCGTCTTCCCTGTATCTGACAGCTCTTTCCCCTCCCACAGGCAATTTAGCTCCTGTGCTCCTTCCTGGTGGAAGATGCTACTGAATAAACAACTTCCCTTTGCATACCTGGCTCTGTTGGCTAAAACTGAGGGAAAGCTATTGCCTTAAAATGGCCAGATTTTGGCAACAAGCAGCCAAAAAAGAAGGGAGGATTAATACAGAGGAGGAAGCATAGGAAGGAAGGATAGCTCAGATGAAAGGGGAAGTATTGTCAGGAGCGTTTGTACTCACCCCACCTTCTCTTAGACTTTTTGCCCTTCCCTCTCCACTTGTATTGCCATACAATACATCTACCCACGCTGGAGTAGAAGCCTGTTTTCAGGAGACATCATGATCCAACTGAATTGAACCTTGGTGAACTCAGAAAGGTCACGAAGCTTGCTGGGCTCAGGCAGAGGCTCCTGGGCACTACCGGGGCCACGGCAGCTAAACGGGACTGTCACCCCCTCAGGCTTGAGAGCCCTGTCGCAGAGGCAGCTTCAGGCAAAAAAATCAGTTGCTTGCAACATGAAACACAACAGGGCAGCTGCCAAGACAAGTGTCTGATGACAGTTGCTGTCTTGGAAAGTTTTTCAAAACAAGTACACGCTCTGTGGACTAAAAGATGCCAAGTGTTGGGGACACAAGGGATGCTATTCCCAGATCTCGTGTCCGGCCATCCTCACCCTGTCACATAGTTTAAATTTCAACACACTGGTTCTGATGAGACCAACTTTTTCCTCTGGTTTGTAGTTCACTTTCAGCTTTCACGGTACAGCACAAAGTGCTTGTCAGAACAGTCCCATCAAACCCAGCCTACCACCTCCCCAACGCCGCTCCTCAAACTGCCACTGCAGTTCTCCATTCCTGCTTGACAAAGGCTGCAACACACACAAGAATTGTGGTTCACAAACCTTACCGATCATTCCCAGCCTAGCCCTACCCTCAATCGGTCTTACGCAGCCAAAAAGTTTTAAGACACAAACAGAAAAATAAGTGCATAAAACTTTCAGTCTGAGGTTTGGTAATGACATGACCAGAATCTGTTGGAAGAACTGCAAAGTTAAATCTCATAAAAACACCTAGACAAATTACTTAATTTCCATACAAGTTCTCTTCTTCCAGAGTGGATGGACACTTCAAAAGACAAAAAGATACAGGAAGAATTGTTTTTCTCTACTACAAATCAAGCTGTTTGAAGAATTTACATAAACAGGATGTAAATGCCAAACACAGAAGTGCAATAAAGTTTTACTTTAGACTCTGGGAGCATAAAATTGCAAGATACACACTGAGAAGCCAGGCAGGGCACCAGAGTGACTCACCTAGAGATCTGTCGGTCGAGGAAATAAATGCTGCTTTTTTTGTTCAAAGACTGAAACAGAGATATGGGCTGGTGGTGGGTGATCTCGACAGAATCCTGGCACCTGTAGGCTCTACATTACCTCTGTGCTCCCCTTGTTTCAGCCAAGGGTCAAACCAGGCTTCCGTCAACCTGTGATCAGGTCAAACTATTTCTGTAGGTTAAATATCTGGTTCCTGCGTCCCTCACGCCGAGGGGATGGGGAAAGCGCAGAGCCCGGGGGGCTCGGATCAAGTGTCGGGGGGTGGTGGGCTCCTGAGGGAACGGGAGGGGGCGATTCAAGGGAGAAGGGAAACCCGGTCTGCCAAAAATGTCGTTGAAGGCGGTGGGGAGCCGAGTGGCGAGCTTCGTGGGGCCTCTAGTGGCCGCGTCCGGGAAATGCCCGGGCCGGGGAGAGCCGCGGCCGCTCCCCAGGCGCGGGAGGGGGGCACCGGCGGGGTCGCGGTTTTCCCCAGAACCGACCCCACCAGCTCAAACGGAGCTTTTAGGCTGCGCGGGGCCGCTCTGGAGGAAGCCTGAGGAGGAGGAAGATCACGTAGGGAGGCCGAGGAGGACTTCGAGAAAAACGGTTCAGCCAAGTCAAGCTCACAGACACCAAGATGACAAAGAGCGTCAGTGAAAATTATTTGGAATCAAGTTTTGTCTGAAAAGTAAAGCCTAAGAAAAGTAAAGCCTAAGTGAACAATAACGAAGCTTTACCAGCAAAGCTCCTGAGAGTAGGGAGAAAGTAACTCTTACAGCTATTTTGAAGCCACTTTTAAAATCCTCGGAACAGTTACAATAAAGATAAATCAGCAAAGATACCTTAAAATGAAGAAATGAAATTATTTCCTTCCCTGATGGCTACTGCATATTAGTTGCGTTATAAACACTACTTAGCATTGAGTAAGGGAGATAAAATACTTGTTATTATTCTTTTTGTACCCTAGTGGAGGTTCTTCTCTGGGTAAGATCCGATTATTTTTTACACTGCCAAGCGCTGCTTTTCAGTGCTAAGCTTGCTAAGGGATGTGCAAAATGGGTTCAAAATAAGGTAAGTGCAAGTCAAAATCACTTTCTGCTTTGTTTCCAATTCACTTACACCGTGTTGTTGAACTCACCCCAGTGCAGAAGGCCCCAAAACAACTCCCTATATCCCCTGACCCTAAGATAATGCTTATGGTAACTTTTATATAAAATTCTCCATAAACACCATTCCTCAGGCAAAGCGTGTTCACAAACAGACTGAATGTCACTGGCACCACCCCCTTGCACTTTTTGCTCAAATGTAAGGATTAGACTCAGTCCTTAAATGTATTGTATTAATTTCTAAATTGCTTTCAGCAACCTTTCAAATATTCCTTTATCTCAGGAGAAAAAACCCAACAAAACCACGCAGTAAGAAAGCGCCAGTCTAGAAAAAAAAGGAAAAATGAAACAATAATGATCTTACGAGGTTGTTTTACAGTAAAATGGCCCCAAAGTTCCCCTTGGTTTGTCCCCTCCTGCGTGCACAGCCACTCCTGAGCAGGGTACAGAAGAGAAAAGCAGTAACAGGGACAGAGCCGGGCGGCTTCTGAGAGAGTCCCCAGCTTTCACATTCTCAGCTATTCATGTCTAACACCTTGTAGTCTCTAGACTACATGAACAACACACACAAAAAAAAGCCAAGGTGCAGTTTTAGCAGTACTGAATTGTTTGCAGTTAATATATGGATTATACCAGCATGTTGTTGTTGAGCTTTTCACAAAAGAAGAAAGGCTTTGGATCCATGTAGAAAAATGAGCTTCTGAGGATGAAGCCCATGCAAAAAGGGGCAGAACCACTTATCTGCTCTGTACCGTGCAGATCTTGGGAGATGATTCGGTACTGAACTTGCTTCTGCATGTTTTCTCTCAGCACAGCTCGGTCCCAAAGAGGTTGGCTTGCAGGGAATTTAACACAGAGTAGTGCAAAACAATACATTTTATTTGTTCACAGTTAAACACAAGCAACTGCCTTGACATTTTAGAACATTCTAATAAGGACAGCAAAACCTCCTTTTGGTTTAAGTTCTCTTTAGCTTACGATTGTACCATTTCCTTGTATTTCATATTTATGGCATTTAATGTGGATTGTTTAACATGCTTACAAAGAGCGAGGCAGGGAACAGATTAACTTGACAAAGACAGCAATTTTAGATTTAACTAAAAGCAGTCAGTTAAAAAAAAAAAAAAAAGTCTGTTTCCACTTCACTGATGGGACCCCTTCAAACGAACTGCAAGTTAACTACATACAGCAGATCCATGATTTTTAGACTTACAAAAAAAAATTGCAAAATTTGTTCCTCCATAATCTTTGTGGTCCATAAACAAACCTAAAGTGGTTTCCATTACTATCCCGGTGCTAAAATCCTTTTTAAAAGAAGAAAAAAAGCCACCTTATCAATGAGCTTGCGTTACCGCCAGGGCATTTTTGTAACCGACAACAAAAACCGCCTCTCCTCAGCGCAAGGGAAGTCATCGCCTAAGCGAGACTCTTCTAGGCTGGGCCCAGCGGAAGGATGGGCAAAGGAACAACTCCCACACAACAGCATCCAAGGGCTGAGCTGGGCCTGAAGGACAATGTGCAAACCGTTCACTCCCGGGGCTGGGACCCGGTGGGGCGAGGGGCAGGAAACCTCCAAATCTGACCGAAACATACGCTACCACGTTTGCTACCACTAAGTCTTAGAAAGCCTATAGACATGTCGACAAAACCAGTCTGTCACTTACAACCAACTCTCTATTTTCTATTCCATGCAGATTCAAGCTTCGACAAAACCACTGAAGTTCACCTTTACTTTCAGAGTTAGGACTGACCAACCGAAAGGACACTGAGAATAATTTAGACAGGCAGAAATGTATTTAGACCCTAGGTGTTCTGGAAGAAGCAGAAATGGGAGGAAAAGCACTGTCAGAGGTGCAAGTTAGCATACTGTCAGCTGCTCTGACAGAGCCCTGTTCCTATTGGGGTTAAGAGATTTGAAGCACAAGTGTACTCGGACTTGATTTATATTTGAGACAGGTCCCAAACAGCAGCTGCCACCCACAGAATGTTTAAGGAGGGGCCACGTGTGATGCAGGCTAAGGGTGAAGCCTGATACGCTCAAGCACGCCTGGACCCAGACAATGTTCAAGCAAGCACAGTGCCTTCCCAACAGCAGGCTCTGTTCTGTCTCAAAGGGGGTTGAGTCTGACCACTGACAAGCCCTGATCCCACAATCCTCCTTCACAGAAGGCTCATCACTGACTTAAAACATGATTAACGCAGAAAGGCCCCACGGCAGAAT